CCGTGAGAAAAATGCTACTGGGTGAAGTAATTCCTTGGCGCCCTTCGCTGGGAAAGGATGGAGCCAACCGCGTTTTCTGATGCATCTACTTCTAAAATGTAGGGCAGGGAGGCGTCGGGATGACCCAGAATGGGTGCCGAGGTAAATAACCTTTTAGTGCTTCAAAAGCTTCCTGTGCCTCGGGCGTCCATCTGAACCGCGTCCCAAGCTTAGTTAACTGAGTGATGGGGGAGACCAGACCCGAGAAGTTCTTGATGAACTTCCGGTAGAAATTTGCGAACCCAATGAAACGTTGGACACTTTTCCTGTCCGTGGGTTCAGGCCAATCTAGGATCGCTGAGACCTTCTGAGGGTCCATTGCGACTCCCGTGGTGGAGATAATCAGACCCAGAAATGTAACGCTAGCCTGTTCAAAGCAGCATTTCTCTGCCTTAGCGTACAACCCCCCGTGCTGCCGCAACCGCCCCAACACCTTTGTTACATGTACCCCTGTGCTCCCCCAAGGAGGATGAGAAAATCAAAATGTCGTCTAAGTAGACGATGACAAAGATGTCCAGGAAGTCCCTAAAGATATAATTTACAAAGTGCTGGAAGGTGGCTGGCGCATTGCACAACCCGAACGGCATGACCAGGTATTCAAAATGGCCGAAAACGGGTGCGGAAGGCCGTCTTCCACTCATCCCCCTCCCTTATGCGAACCAAATTGTAGGCTCCCCTTAAGTCCAGCTTGGTAAATACTACTGCAGCTTTTTAAGCTCTGGAATAATTCAGGTACCAGTGGTAATGGGTAACGATTTTTAATGGTGACCCTATTCAGTTCCCGATAGTCAATGCATGGCCTCAAAGTCTTGTCCTTCTTTTCTACAAAGAAGATCCCTGCACCTGCTGGGGAAGTGGAGGGACGGATGAATCCCTTTCGGAGGCTGTCCTCAATATAGTCCTTCAGGGCCCCTAATTCTAGCTCAGAAAGGGGGAAAAATTCGCCCGAACGGAATTCAGAACCGGCAACAGATCGATAGGACAGTCATATGGGCGGTGGGGGGGTAGAGCATCTGCTCCCCGTTCACTGAACACATCAAGAAACTTGTGATAGGCTGCAGGAATCACTTGTTTTAGGCTGTCATCCCCTTCAGAGCACAGGAGGACCTGGGGGACCTCCGGGCCCGAAGTTCGACACAGTTCCCGACAATATGGGGAAGGGAACGAGACAACCCCAGTCTCCCAGTCAATTTGGGGGTTATGGGCCCGCAACCAAGGGAGCCCCAGAATGACTGGGAAAAGGGGGTGATGCAATAGCATCCAGTCGGAGGAGTTCCTGGTGCTGACCGGCAATGGAAGTCATAATGGAAAGGGTCTCCTGGTTAACTACTCCTGACTTTATCCGGGAACCATCAGCCAAAAAGATGTGAAACCCCTTCTCCTTTGGGCGGAGGGGGATACCCTGCTGGTGAGCAAAATTGATATCCACAAAACAGCTGCATGCCCCCGAATCAACTATGGCCGTCACCTCCACGGTCCTTTCTGAAAGCTGAAAGGAGAGGGGAACAACTAAGTACTGGGACGTACTCGTATTGCCACAGATATAAAGAAGATGAGGTGAACTTACTCAGTTTCTGCGGGCAGGAACGCACCATGTGACCAGCTTCGCCGCAATACAGGCACAGATTCTGGGAGCGTCTGCGCTGGCGTTCCTCTGGCGATAGTTTAGGCCGAGCCAGGCCTAGCTGCATGGGTTCGGGAGCATCTTCAAACGGCAGGTTCCTGGATGCTTGGCCTAGCATGTTGACTGGATCCCTGAAATGACCCCCAGGGATTTCCGCGACCCTGACCAGACCTCTCCAATCTGCGCTCCCGTAGCCTACGGTCAATTTTAATGGTGAGTGCAATCAAGTCCTCTAATGTCTCGGGCACCTCCACCCGGGCGAGCTCGACGTCTTTCAGAGCCTCAGAAAGGCCCATACGGAACTGGTGCAAAAGTGCGAACTCGTTCCAACGGGTGTCACCCATCCAGCGCCTAAAGTCAGAGGCGTATTCCTCAGCCGCACGCCGACCTTGTCGGAGTGCGTATAGTGTGGCCTCGGCCGAGGCCGCTCGTTGTGGGTCATCATATAAGATGGCCATGGCGTTAAAGAAGCTGTCGACCGTAACCAGGTGAAGGTCATTGTTTCCCCTTAGTCGGTGGGCCCAGTCTTGGGGTTCACCCTGCAACAGGGAGACAACAAACCCCACTTTCACCGATTCTGTCAAAAAGGTCCATGGCTGCAGTTCAAAATAGAGCAGAACAGGAGTCACAGAATGACCGAAAGCGTGTTGCGATCCCCATGGAAGCGTTCGGGTAAGGGTACTCGGGGTTCCGCCATAGGGAGTGATGTGGAGGCCCAGGAGCCCGGCTCGTGGGCTGCTGCGACCGGTGGTGCAGGAACCGGGGCCTGTGAAACAGGAACAGATATGGTGCAGGCCTGAAACCGATTCTCAATCTGCAGACATCTGTCCTGTAATGTGTTTACTGCTTGCGTCAAGGTGGCCAGGTGCCTGCAAACCTCGTCCAACGGGGAGAGTCCTCCTCGAGGCTCAGTCATGGCCTTCTGGTACTGTGAGGGACCGCTGAGCGGCACCACTAGCACTCCACTGGTCAGGCGTGCCCAGAGCGCGGAGTCCCTAAGCCCCGGGGTACTTGTTCACCAGGGCCCCTGATGGTGGGGATGGACTTGTAGTACCCCGAGACCAGGTCGCCTCTACTGAGCACACCTGTCAGTGGTAGGGGTGTTCGCCAGGGGTTCCAACCAGGGAGAGCCAGATGTGAGGAGGTCGGGTGAGCCCGATGGGATGGATGGATGGATGGCTGAGCAGGTGCGTAGTCAGACAGGCCGAGTCGGTAATGTAGAGGACGGTAAGGTACAAGGGAGCAGGCAGAGAATCGTCGGGTCACACGCCAGGTCAGCAACAGGAGGTCAGATCTAATAAGGGGCATCCAGGGAGAGAGGTCAGGCAAGCAGGGGTCTGGGCAGGAGAAATCAGCAAGGTCAAAGGCAATCCGGGTCAATAACTTACTAGGCACAGGTACAGGATCACAGGAAGCAGGTAAGACCAGAAGGCAACGAAATGACAGCTCAGGGACCTTTAAATATCCCGCCTGCGCTGCCATTGATGCCCAGCGGGCGGGCCGCGCAGAGCTTCTACTGCGCATGCACGAACTCGAACGCCGCGGCCGGCCCGGACCTAGTGCCCGTGCACTGGGTGGAGCAGTGCGCCTGCGCCGGGACCATCGCGGCAGGGATCGCCGAGAGATCCCTGACACTATGGGTGTACAGGGTGTGGCGTGCCACTCTGGGGCACTTAAAGGCCCAGAGAAAAGAGAAACGTCTTTTCTGTATGAGGCGCAGGTAGAAGGAAGGTATCCGGACTGGTAAGGTCAGCTTGTTCAGTAGCTAGGAGGTCCAGTTGCGCCACTACAGGTAAGTCAAGGTTTTCTCAGTTGGAGGCCAAAGGGTGTGCGACTTCCAGGTAGCATTCACCGAGGCAAGTTGCTCAGGAAGTTCCTGAAGCCTCCGCTCTCTCACGCGCTTTCTGTTGGTAACCAGCTGGACTAAGTGGCCCCGATGAGTGACCTTTTGGGCTTCCCAATGGGTGACCACTGAGTAGACTGAGGATACGTTTTCAGAAAAAAGGGTTTTGAGATGGGATTGGATCTCTAAAAAGGAGTCTTCAGAGGTGAGGAGGGACTCATTGAGTCTCCACTGGAAGGAGGGGCGGATGAGACCAGAGAGAGAGAGAGGGAAAGGATTTTGGGGTTGTGATCCGACCATGGGGAGGCTGGGATGGAAACTTGAGAAACAGTGCGCAAATGCATGAAAACATGGTCAATCCTACAAAAGCTATAGTGAGGGTTCGAGTAGAGGTGTACTCTCTCGGCCTCTGGGATGAAGCTCTCTCCAGACGTCCAGCAGGCCTTGTGACTGGAGGAGATCCGCATCTGATTTTCTAAAGTGGAATTGTGAGTTGTGGTTGCACCAAGAGCGTAGCGCCTGTCTCTTGTGGAGTCTATGGCAATGTTTGAATCCCATATTAGGATAAGAGTTCCCACAGTGTGTTATGCAGCCACTTACACTATTCTGAAATCTGTTGGGGGTGTAACAGGACATGACGGTGGTTTCTTGACCATTGAGTACTCCCTGTAGTATTAGGTACCTGCCCTTAGGTTTCCTTATTGCAGGAGAATAGAAGATTACAGCAAAATGCTATCAGTACTCCCCAGCAGGCCCATAGTAGGACAACAAAAAATAAGCCTGGGCATGTTAGACTGAGCAGTCCATTTTTTTTTTAAACCAAATTACAAATAATGATAACTACTGGTTTCTCAATATCGTTAAGTTATACTTAGCCTGCTTCAGTCACTGCAATTTATCAATCATTTGGAATTATGTAACTATATATTACATTTTTTGGCATATATTTTTATATTCAAAATCACAGAACATCATTACCACTCACTGATTAGTTTGCTAGGGGCTACCGTACATCTTTACTGCTCACTGCCTGGTTGCCAGAGGTTACTGCACATCATTACCGCTCACTGCCTGGTTGCTAGTGGTTACTGCACATCATTACCATTCAGCACTCACTGATTGGTTGCTAGAGGTTACCACACATCATTAACGCTCAATGATTAGTTGCTAGAGGTTAGCGCACATCATTACCGCTCACTGCCTGATTGCTGGAGGTTACTGCACATCATTACTGTTCATTGCCTGGCGACTAGAAGTTGAGGTTACTTCACATCATTACCGCTCACTGCCTGGTTGCTAGAGGCTACCCCACATCATTCACACTCACTGATTAGTTGCTAGAGTTTTACCACACATCATTACCGCTCACTGCCTGGTTACTATAGTTTACTGCACATCATACTGCTCACTTCCTGGTTGCTAGAGGCCACCCCACATCATTACCACTCACTGATTAGTTGCTAGAAGTTAACGTATATTATTATTGCTCACTGCTTGATTGCTAGTGTCAGGCTCCGCCCAACGGGATCTCTAGTGGTCCACAGCACGGGGTTTCCCAGGACGCGGAGTCTAAGTCCCAGTCTGCCTTTTCACCAGGGCCCCTGATGGTGGGGATGGACTTGGTGCAAGGCTGGAACCAGGTCGCGCCCTTGGGCACCCCCGGCGGTGGTAGAGGGGTCCTGCTGAGGGTATGTGCCCGGGATGAGCCTGCTGCGAAGGGGACGACAGGTCCGATCCGAGCGGATGGATGGGATGGCAGATTCCGATCCGAGCGGGATGGACGGATGACAGATCCCGATCCGAGCGGGATGGATGGGTGCCAGCTAGGAGTGAGCGAGGTCAGACTAGCCGGGTCGGTATTGTGCGGCAGCGTGGTACAGGGGGAGTAAGCGGAGAATGGTCGGGGTCACAAGCCAGGATCAGCAGGTAGCGGGCAGCGCGGTACAGAGGGTCAGGCAGGAGGATGGTCAGGGACGAGCCGGGGTCGGAGCAGGAGAGGGTCAGCATAAGTCAGAACAGGCAGAGTTTGGCAACTAGGAAGCGTACTTACAGGACAGGAACAAGACCTTGCGGCAACCTGGAGATGCACAGGGCAGCTTTAAATAGAGCGCCCTGTTCTCCCATTGGTGCGGCCAGCGATCGCTACTGCGCATGTGCGGCCGCCGCCGTGAACTCCGGTCCGGGACGGATCGGCCGTCTGCGCATGCGCGCACCGCCGAGGACCCGGGATCCCTGACATTGCCCCCCCCCTACGGGCAACCTCCGGATGCCCAACCGACCCCCACCGAACGGCCGGTTCTGAAAAATTCCCGCACAAGTCTTGGGGCGTGCACATTTTGGGCCGGCTCCCATGAATTTTCCTCTGCCCCATATCCTTTCCATTAACCAGAAACTGAGTTCGGCCTCCCCTCTTCCTACAATCTAAGATAGCTTCAACTTCAAATTCCTCCTCCCCATCCACGTCTACTGCCTCCGGTGGTTTAGAAGGGAAGGGATCTGGAGTTGCTGGTTTCAACAGGGACACGTGGAAGACCGGATGAACCTTCATAGACTCGGGCAGTGCAAGCTCGTATGCCACCTCGTTGATCTTACGTTTTACACGAAAGGGCCCCAAGAATTTGGGAGCCAGTTCTTCGAAGGGCAGGGCATTTTCAAATTTGCGGTGGACAACCAAACCTGGTCCTCTGGCTGCAAAACTCAATTCCCCCCTTCTCTTCTTATCAAAATGCCCTCTTATTGTCACCCTGGGCCTTTGCCATTGCTTCCTGCAATACCTTGCTATTGGTGGACAAAAAGTTCAACATATCCTGCGTGGCCGGGACTGCGACCTCCGGGATCAGATCGGGCAGGAATACAGGGTGGAACCCGTAGTTTGCGAAAAACGGGGACTGTCTAGTAGCCGAGTGACTCGCATTGTTATATGCGAATTCCGCAAGTGGCAGGAGAGTAAACCAGTCATCTTGGAGGAAGGTGGTATAGCACCTGAGGTACTGTTCTAGGGTCTGGTTTGTACGCTCCGTCTGGCCATTGGTCTGTGGGTGGTAAGCAGAGGAGAATGACAGCTTAATTCCCAGGGTATCACATAAAGCTTTCCAGAACCTGGATGTAAACTGAACCCCTCTGTCAGATACAATATCCCTGGGAATTCCGTGGAGTCTTACCACTTCTTTAATAAACACACGTGCTGTCTCAAGGGCCCGTAGGTGTGTCCTTTAGAGGTACAAAATGGGCATCTTGGACAGCCAGGTCTACATATCAGAAGATTGCTGTGTGGTCCTGTGAGGGTGGAAGTTCCACAATAAAGTCAATGGAAATCATTGTCTATGGTCTGTCGGGTATTGGTAATGGACGCAAGAGACCCCAAGCCTTATTCCTAGTAGGCTTGTTCCTCTGACAAACGGGACAGGTTTTTTTTTTTTTTTACGTAAGTTTCGCACTCTCTGGCCATATTAGGCCACCAGAAGGTACGCTGCAACAGCTCCAAGGTCTTACGTACCCCAAAGTGCCCGGCCAAGTGGGTGATCATGGCAGTATCCTAATACCAATGTACGGGCTTCCTCAGGGACCACAATCTGATCCTCCTTCCAGAGGAGTCCCCTCCCTATTTAGGGGAACACACGGGTGGGCCTTGCATACCTACGGACGCGGTCTGCAATTGAGAATGAAGCTCCGATTGGAGGGCTAGGAAATTCCCTGGGGACAGGATAGTGTCTGGCTTGGGACTCTCTTCGGGGTCCCCCAAACATGCGGGAGAGCGCATCAGGTTTTCGTGTTCTTAGACCCTGGCCTATAAGTTATATGGAAAAAGAACCGTGAAAAGAACAGTGCCCACCTTGGCCTGAGCCGTGGCCTCAGACGTTTAGCTGTTCTCAAATATTTTAGGTTCTTGTGATCCGTGAAAATCAATATCGGGTGTACCGCCCCCCTCTAAAAGGTATCTCCGTTCCTCTAGTGCCACCTTGATCGCCAAAGAGTTCCCGATCCCCGATATCATAATTCCTTTCAGCAGGAGTTAGTTTCCTGAGAAGGAAAGCCACCGGCCGTGCACAAGCTCTTTGATGCCCTTCCTCTGGGACAGGATCGCCCCGACCGCATTCTCGGATGCGTCTACCTCCAAGATATATGGTAAGGATGAATCGGGGTGGCTCAAAATAGGAGCATGCCGTGAACAACTCTTTTAAAGCTTCGAATGCCCTCTGTGCCTCTGGCGTCCACTGGAAGCGGACCCCCTGCCTGGTCAGCTGGGTGATAGGGGATACTAGGCCCGAAAGGCATGCCCTCTGTGCCTCTGGCGTCCACTGGAAGCGGACCCCTGCTGGTCAGCTGGGTGATAGGGGATACTAGGCCCGAAAAGTTCTTAATGAACTTCCTATAAAAGTTCGCGAAGCCAATAAAGCGTTGGACCGCTTTCTTATCGGTGGGTGCTGGCCAGTCTAAGATGGCCGAAACCTTTTGGGGATCCATGGCTATTCCCGTGGGAGAGATGGTTAGGCCCAGAAATGAAATACTACTCTGTTCAAAACAGCACTTGTCTGCCTTGGCATACAAGCTGTGTTGGCGGAGCCGTTCTAACACGCGCTTCACATGACCCCTATGGTCCTCCAAGGTTGGGGAAAAGATAAGGATATCGTCTAGGTATACAATGACGAAGATATCCAGATAGTCCCTGAACACATCGTTTATGAAATGCTGGAAGGTGGCTGGAGCGTTACATAGGCCGAAGGGCATAACCAAATATTCAAAGTGTCCAAATCTGGTACGGAATGCTGTCTTCCACTCGTCCCCCTCTCTGATACGGACTAAATTATAGGCACCTCTCAAGTCTAGTTTAGTGAAGACAGATGCTGACTTCAACCTCTGAAAAAGTTCGGGGACTAGTCGTAGCGGGTAACGGTTCTTCACCGTGACTTTATTCAAGTCCCGGTAATCTACGCAGGGCCGGAGGGACTTGTCCTTTTTTTCCACAAAGAAAATGCCCGCCCCAGCTGGCGACGTGGAGGGTCTAATAAACCCCTTATGGAGGTTTTCATCGATATATTCCCTCAGTACCCCTAACTCCCGCTCGGATAAGGGGAATATCTGCCCAAATGGAATCTCCGACCCTGGGAGGAGATCAATTGGGCAGTCATAACCTCGGTGCGGGGGGAGAGTGTCCGCCCCCCGCTTGCTAAACACATCCAAAAAAACTATGGTAGACCGAAGGAATGACTTGCGCCAGTTCCACATCTGTCTCTAGACACAACAAGGTCCCCGGAATCAGGGAAGTCTTAGGGAGGCAATGCTGCTGGCAGTATGTGGGAGAGGAACTGGATAGAACCCGTCTTCCAGTCCACCTGGGGATTATGGGCTCGTAACCACGGGAGCCCCAAAATAATTGGAAATAATGGGGATGCTATGGCGTCTAACCAAAGGATTTCTTCATGATGGGTCGATATAGTGGTACAGATAGGTGGGGTTTCATGGTCCACCACCCCTGACTTAATACGGGATCCATCTGCCAGAAAAATATTTAATCCCACCTCCTTAGCTTGTAGGGGGATTCGTTGCTGAACTGCAAAATCCAAATCAATGAAGCAACTACACGCCCCAGAATCCACAATTGCTGTGGTCACCACCGTTCTCCCCGGCAGCTGAAGTGACACAGGTACCGCTAGATAACTAGTGTTGCCCACACTGGTAGAATTGACCGTAGAAAAAACAGCGGAACACTTACCCCCCTTGGCTGGACAGGTACGTACCACATGGCCTGCTCCCCCACAGTATAGACAGAGATGGTTGGTAAGACGCCTCTGGCGTTCCTCAGGTGTAAGTGTCAGCCGTGTCCTTCCCGGTGGCCCGGTCTTAGGTGTATCCATAGCATCCTGATTCTGGCTTGCCGGCTGGAACTGGTTGAAGCCTGAGGGGGTGTTTCAGTTGGTCCTCGTCCTTGGTTGCACTTCTCCTGCCTGCGCTCCCGCAACCGGCGGTCAATTCGAATAGTCAATGCTATTAGGGCCTCCAAAGTACTAGGTATGTCTATTCGGGCCAATTCGTCCTTCAGTGATTCAGCTAACCCAATGCGGAACTGGTGGTGCAGAGCCGCCTCGTTCCATTGGCTGTCACTACGCCAACGCCTGAATTCAGCGGCATAGTCCTCCACTGTCCGGTGACCCTGCCTGAGTGTATATAGGGCCCTCTCGGCCGTTGCGGTGCGCAGCGGGTCGTCATACAAGAGGGCCATAGCCTCAAAAAATACTGTCATTGACCTCAACAGCGGGTCTCGCTTCTCTAGGAGCCGGTGGGCCCAGTCTTGGGGTCCACCCTGTAGTAGGGCAATGATGAACCCTACCTTCACTGATTCAGAGGAAAAGGTCCGAGGCTGGAGGTCAAAGTATAGCTGACAGGAGCTACGAAAGGCCTGAATCTACCTCGGTCTCCAGAAAAACGTTCTGGTGTGGGGACAAGGGGTTCAGGCGCGGGTAACAACCCTGTTGTCTCCCTAGTGGGTTCCCCAGACCCCCCGGTAGATGTAGCTATGGTCTGCATGCGACTGTCCAATCTTGTATAACCCTCCTGTAGACCCCTAATTCCTAGTGTAAGGGTCTCCATCTGTCGGCAGATGTCATCCAGAGGGGACGTTCCCCTTCCAGGCTCAGTCATGGCCGCAAGGTACTGTCAGGCTCCGCCCAACGGGATCTCTAGTGGTCCACAGCACGGGGTTTCCCAGGACGCGGAGTCTAAGTCCCAGTCTGCTTTTTCACCATGGCCCCTGATGGTGGGGATGGACTTGGTGCAAGGCTGGAACCAGGTCGCGCCCTTGGGCACCCCCGGCGGTGGTAGAGGGGTCCTGCTGAGGGTATGTGCCCGGGATGAGCCTGCTGCGAAGGGGACGACAGGTCCGATCCGAGCGGATGGATGGGATGGCAGATTCCGATCCGAGCGGGATGGACGGATGACA